CGCGCGCGGGGGCCGCGGCTCCTCCCTCCGGGCCCTGCGCTCGCGCTCCTTTCCGCGGCTCTGGGCCTTGTCGGCTTCCGCCTCGCGGGGCCTGTCCTTTGGCCTCTCCCGCTCCCTGCCGTCCTTCCTCCTCTCCTTGGGCCTGTCCCTGTCTCTGTCCCCGCGGGGGTGCTCCCGGGAGGGGTGGCCGTCCCACTCCGCAGGCCTGTCGCGGTGCAGGGGCTCTCGCGAGGGGTCCCGGGCCCTGCGCTCCCGGCCGTCGGCCTCCGCCTCCCGGCGCAGCTTCTTCTCCCGGTGCTTCCTCTCCTCCTTGGCGCCGACTGCGGGTGCGGGTGCGCCCTGCAGGGGAGGCAGGGGCCGTGGCTGTGCTCTCCCACAGCGCCCTCCTGTGCCCAAGAATCGGCCCACGCACGGAGGCACCTGGGTGCCAGCCCCCAGTGCCAGCCCCCCCCCCAGCAGGCTAGGCAAAGCCAGAGCACCCATGGGTGAGGACCCAAAGGAAGCTGAGACGCGGCCCCTGCTCCACGGACAGCCAGGCGTGGTGGAACTCCTGGGGATCTCCATCTCACCCCCAAGTCTCTCTGCACACAGATATCCCCCCCACACCCACAGGGGCAGATGGATGTGGACAGGGCTGCAGGGCCAGGCTGAGGAGACGCCCCCCCACACCTGGAAGGCCTCACCCACCGCCAGGTGCCGCCTGAGCTCCTCTGCCTTCCAGGTATCATCTCTGGTCCTTCTCTGCAAGGGAAGCAGAGTCAGCCCTTCGGCCGTGGACAGTGCTGGAGGCTGGCGACCGGCTCCTGCGCTCCTGGGTAGCCCTTGACAGGCCAGCTGGGCTGCTGTGTCTGGAGCAAGGGGGGAGCGTGGCTGCCCACTGCGGCCTGGAGGGGTGGAATGGACCTCCGCTGGCCAGCCAGCACGCGCGCGTGCCCAGAGTCTCCGTCCACCACGATGCAGACGCTCGGGATGCCCACCTGCACTCACCAGGCAGCCGCAGTGGACATCGGCCTGAGCAGCAGCTCACTAAGCAAACGAGCTGCCATTTCACAAAAAAACAAACAAACAAACAAACAAAACTTTTGTCTTGAAAAGTAAAAATATGGTATTTCCCTTTGGTCACATTTAAGGGCACAGAAAGGATATTGCTTTGTCTGAAATATAAAGCAAAGGTTGTGCAAGAAACCCAAAACCCTATTCACAAGTAAACAACCACATTGAAGTTTGGGCCAACAGAAAAAAGCCCCACTAGCTCCGGAGGACACTGACTGGAAACAGAGCGGGCGGGCACAGCCCCACTGCCGCAGGAATCACAGTCCCGTGCGTACGTTAGGTCTGAGGAAGATGGTTCGTGATGATGATTATTTTAAGAAGCTCAAATCCAAACAAGAGTTGGGGTTGTTGAAACTTGCAGATTCTGAACTTTCAAAGTTAACTGCGCTGGACAGTCAGAGACGGACTCAGGGCGGGCTGGCCGCTGAGCAGAGGCGGGGGCGGCTCCGGGGACTGCCCCCCCCACGGAGGCCACAGCAGACGGCCCCTTCCCCAAGAAAACCCAGGAGGGCAAACAGCCTGGCTCAGTCCCGAGGCGCTGAACGGCCGGGGCACACGGCCCTGTGCCTTCGTGGGGCATTAGAGTGGCCACAGCCCGGCCCGGCCTCGGCCCCAAACCCGTGTGGGCCACGGAGTGCGGGGTCTGCTCCGCCGGCCGCTAGGCAGGCAGGCGAGGCGGCAGTGGGCTCCGGACAGGCCCCCCCCAGCCCCCAGGACGCCCCCAGGACCGGCATGCAACCTCTTCCCCGCCAGAGGAAACAGATGCGGCAGAATCTCCCACCTGCAGGGACGGGCGCCCATGGGCCCTGGAGCCACAGCTTTTACAACAGAACTAGCCACGTGATTTACAATCAGGGCCCTAAACAAGCCCTAAAATCCCTTCCTCTGCCTCCGGCATAAGTGCACTAAACTGCTTTAATTCCCAGGGCCGCGGGGCTTCCGGGAGCTCCCCGCACCCCACCCTCGCACCTGGGCCCAGGCCATCTGCACAGCAGGTGCCTCCGCCCCCAGCGCCCAGGCTCCGTCCCCTGTGCTCATTCTCGAGGTGAACTCGGAGGCACGAAGACAAAGACCCGCTCTTGGGGTGACTCTGGGGCGCAGGTGCCTCCGGGAGGCCCGGGTCCCGCGCCCCAGTGTGAGTAAAGCGCTTCCCAGAGGACGAGGTGACGTCCTATCCCCACCAGTGTCCAAGCAGCTCTTGACCTGCCTACGGGGCGTCGCTCACCCCAATCAGGAGGTGACCCCGCTCTCAGAGTCCCATGCTGACCCTGGGCCGGCCTGGGGTGCCATCCGGCACAGGCCCCCTGAGGGCCTCTGAGGCAGAGGCGTAAGAGGCTCCTGTGCAGGCAGCGGGGTCCTGCCCCTGCGCGCGGGCTCAATGTTTCCGCATTTTCACTCCAGGAGCTCCTTGTCCTTTGGCCGTAACAACCCCACGTGGCTCCCATGAGGTGCAGATGCTGGTTGCCTGTGCAGGGGCACAGAGCCCAGCAGTGGCCAGCACAGGCCCGGGGCCAGACGGCTCCCCAGAGGCTGGGGTGCCGGAGACGCCTGCACCACCTCTGCGGGCCACATGGCACTTTCACCCGGAGCGTGAGCGAAAGTGGAGGGAGCAAGTTGCTTTGCTGCTCACAGGTGGCTTGAAAACAGCTGCCACTGCTCATGAAACCTTGCTAAGCCGCTGTCCCTTGGGACTGGCCTCTCCTGGCTGCAGCCCTGGCCAGGACTTGGCCGGCAGGGAGGCGCCTGCCCAGAGGCCAGGTTGCATGCCAGGTCCTCCGACAATCCACGGCAACGTCCAACTGCTTCTTGCTCAACACGTTCCCTAAGTCCACCCTTCCTGTCAGTTCACGGCCACAGCGGCAGCCCACCTGGCCCCAGAGAGCCCACCCCCACCTGTCCACAGCACCATGGGCCCGCCGCAGCCCATCCCCGTGGGTGCACTAGGGTGCTGTCCAGCAGGAAGGCCCCATCACAACCCAGAAGCGAGGTAAGGCACACGGGAAGGTGATGTGAACACACTGCACATTTTCTGGGGAGACCTCACCACCCCCGCACCCCCAAACCCATCACAGACCCCAGAGCATGGAGCCACCTGCCCACAGCCCCGCCGGACCGAGCCGGCGGGACCACGAGGCAGCGGCTGCCTGCAGGCTTGGGTTGGGGGGGACAGACCCTCACGGCACCTGGGCCCTGAGCCCCCGCAGCTAGCCTCGGTCTCGCCGGGCCTGCCAACCTGGGCTGCTGAGCGGGCCCTCGGGCACCAGCTTCCAAGCCCCAGTTCCCGCCCGGCACGGGCGGGCTGGGCTGACTGACTCCGCAGTCCAGTCCGGGGCTGGCAGGGCCGGGCGGCGGTGACGATGTGCTCTCAGCTGTCCTCCAGCTTTCCTGGGCAGGGCTCGCAGTCCCCGCAAACACCTGAGAGGCTGCGCTGTCCCGGTCCCCGCCGAGGCTCAGGGCCCAGGGCCCAGGAGGGGTCTTAGCGCCCCAAGTCCACACAGAGGCCAGAAGCAAACTCTGGCGCTGGCCGCATCCTCGGCCGCTCGCGCGGCCGCGGGCTGCAACGGAAGTCCGCGGAGCAAGCAACGTTGCTGCAAACGCGGAGCGTTTACGTCGCAGGGCTTGCTACTTATAAAGACCTCTCAGGACTTCTCTCCAGGGTACGACTTTAAGGTCCCTGGGCTCCAGCCAGGCAGGGAGAGTCACCGGGACATCTCCAGCAGGGCCACCGCGGGGTCACCCGGCCGCAGCAGGGGCGGGGTCGCACTGCGCAGAGGATCGGACAGCGGGGAGCCGAGGCAGCGTCCGCCCGGCTCGACGCCGCGGTGCGCAGATGCGGCGGGGC